CCTGAATTCTGGGGGCAGCTCTGTTAAGCTGCCGACCGGCGACAGGCCACTCCCCGGAAGCTGGCACGCCGGCACTTTAAAGTGCATGCTGCCTCGCCCTGCCATAGAGCGAAACATGTCCTGCTTTATGGCTGGGAGGCACGCTGGAACTTTAAAGTGCATGCCGCTGCCACGGCCATACAGCGGGACCTGCTGAATTGCCAGAAGCCAGCATGTCCCTCTCTACGCAGCAGCACGGCTATAAAAAATAAAAAAGTGCCAGCTCGTGCGCCAGCAGAGGTGGGTAAAACACACACACACAAATTACTTATAATAAAACAAATTACAATTATTTACAAATAATTTTGAATTCCTGCCCCCTCCCTCCGACCCACATACTGTGTCAGAGGATTTCAACTCTCCTCTTGTCCGCCACGATGAAAATGTAAAAAGAAAAAGGCAAGAGCCACTCTAGGCTAGCCAGGCTGGGATAGTTGCTGCTAGAGTCACCACATGGATGACTCTGCTTAGCTGTTTAAAAAAAGCCTCTAAACAAAGTGCCCTCTGCAGGAGGAGGTGAGAGAATCACGTGCCACCTTTGCATAAGAAATGTTTCGCCTTTTTACCCTTGCTTAACTCTGTTCATGTAATCATAAAGCTAGAATAAAGGAGGCCCGTGATTCTCTTGGCTTCCCCTGCAGTTAAGCACTAACCAGAGTCAACCACTGTGACTCTGGCAGCAACTGCCTCTGCCTTTTTCCTTTTAATTTTGTTTTTCTTTTCATCATGACAGTGGTGAGGCCCTGCCTCCCCTGACTGCACGTCACTGCTTGTGAGATAAGAACAATAAATAAAAGCAGTAACAGAGTTCATTATGAAAGATGGCTGGATAAAAGAACTAATTGTTTCCATGCTGATAAGTATCCCTTTTCTTATACTCCCACCAATGCAGTCTAGTAAGGTTACAATTCATGAGATTATTTACGTTTATTTATTATATATAAGTAATATATTTATTTATGCCATCTATCTCACTATTTTGATTTTGGGTGGCTTCCAGTATCATAAATAACAGTATAGACAATTAAAAATTAAAAAATATTAAAACAGTAAGCATTAAAATTAAAACATTAACATTAACTATGAACTAGATAAAAGAACCATTGCATAAACTGGGTGACGGTGGAATCTTGATCTAATCTATTAGCCATCTCCCGAATGGGACACCCCATCAGGGCCAGAAGCCAGTTGGAAGAGCTAGATTTTCAGACCCTTTCAGAAGATCACAATGGATCTCATCCTGAGGGGCATGATATTCCAGAGGGCAGGAGCCATGGGGGGAAAAGGCTCTTCTCCTACACCCCCCACCAGCCACAAATCTTTGGCTGATGGGATCTGTAGCATGTCTCTTCTGCCAGAGTGATTACCTGTATTTGGCACTGAACAGCACTGTTTTTGTTATCTCTTCCCATGTTAGGTTAATAGCTACACTGGGAAATGTTCATCTTACTTACTTTCATATTGCTGTGTAGCTGTCGCTCTAGACACAATTTCCACTGTTAGTTGCTTTTTTTTTAGAATAATATTGTGGCAAAAGAGAAATGTTTATATTTCCTTTTCCCAGTGCCACATAAAGAATCTACAATACAGTCTCCAGTCATAAATTTATTTTCTTTTCTTTTCAGGCTTTTTTTCAGAAGGCATTATCCAGTCAATAGTGTTATTTTTTGTGCTTTGGATCCACAAGACAGAAAGTAAGGATGATTAATGTTTCTCAATTCACTGTTTGTATACTGTTATGTAAAGCAGTGTTTTTCAACCACTGTGCCGTGGCACACTAGTGTGCC